GCATTTCTTTAATTTAGAATTATGTGTCCACAATGCCTTTATTCAAAAAAAAATTATTCATTATCAATAAATTAAATAAGAGAAATAGAGCCAGTAGCATTCAAAAAAAAAAAAAAAAGAGAAATAATTGTATTAGTTATATTGTCTTTATTTTTCTACAATATAAAAATTCTTTATATTCAAATTTATTAATTGATTATATTCGCTACATTGTCCTTACAATGTCTTAATTCAGTGAAAAAAATTATTCATTATCAATAAATTAATTAAGAGAAATATTTTCATTAGTTATATTGTCTTTATTTTTCTCAAATGTAAAAATTTTTACATTCAAATTCATCAATTGATTATATTCACTACATTGTCTATTATCTTTTTTTTGCACTATTTTTCTAAATAAATATCAAAGTTATAATACAAAATAATGCTATATATTTATTTACCAAGTATTTTATTAATACCATGAAAAAATTAAAAAAATATATAATTAATAAAGCCAACCATATTAACTACTTTGAGAGATTTTGTGACAAAAAGAGTATTCAAATCACACAACAAATTGAAGTGAGAACTACCTTGCAATGTCCTTGTTTGACAATCAGCAGTTAGCGCGCGGATTATATTAGCGGATTTGACCAACGAATTTATTTAATTATTAACATTGTGTAAAAAAAATGACCGCCAAATTATTAAATCAAATGAATGGTTCAAATTGTTCAGGTTTTAATTCTTTTCTTTTAAGATTTTCTAATTTATCCTTAATTATATGATTATCCATTTAACTTTTCCGTTAATTCACCGTTAGTCTAATTCTAATATTAAAGTCTAATATAGAATTATAACTACACCATTAATCTAATTCTAATATTAAAGGTCTTAATAGAACTTAACCACAAATCCTAATGTCGGAATCTCCTCAAACAATATTAGTATATATTTAATATTTTATGCCCTAATTTTTATTTGTTCTCCCTTATGTCCCGTATTTGGTTTCAACCATACCTATACAATTATTTTATTGACAATTATAATCAATCTTGACTATATTATATTGCATTTGTAAACTTAGAATTACCTATTTAACCCGCACGGGCTTAGCTCAATGGTTTAGTGGGTAGTATTTGGGAAAAGAGACCAAGGTTTGAACCTCGGCTGCGGCAGTGCGGAAATTATGTCCAAAGTGGGCAGATTCCTTGTGCGTATCAGCATTTGGCCCTGTCTGCTGAACCATTGAGTCACCGTGATTTACAACTTTCCACAATGCTTTGTCGGGTCGGAGTGTGGGGGGGTCCCTTGGGATGGGAACTCAACCTTTGGAAGAAGAATTACCTATTTAAATACGCAAATTCAACCTTCAATTATCTATGCATGAACAATTTCAATATAATCCTGCCTTAATATACTTTAAAGTACTTATTTTAAAAAAAGCATTGGGCATTATCCCAATCGCGCAATGCGCGTAAACAACTAGTATATATATAATGTATGTGTGTGTGTGTGTATTAAAAATAATTACACTTTTTTTAAGTAATTGTTTGCTTTGACTTGAATGTTTGTAGAGATTGATGCTCAACTGAGGAAGCAATCCAAGTAGAACTGGCCGAATTTTTGGGTAATAATGGATGAAACCTTCTGGTCCCATGAGTGCCTACAACATGGAGTCATCTCAGAGTCACTTCTAAATCAGAATGCCTATTTCCAGAAGACACTCCTTCTGCAAAGGGCTCATCGAGTAATGTAATGTAATCATTAAACATGTGGATGAATTTTTATTTATATATTTTAAATTCTCACTTATACATAATGATTGTTGTAAATAATGTTACCACTACATGAGTCGGCATTCATATTACAGCTACCACATTGTTCCCTGCTTGGTCATACATATTATAATGCCTACTCTCGGAGAACACGCCCTCTGTACATGGCTCATAACCTAAGAAATATTCTAGCACATCTCATATGAAAATCCTTGACACAGCCCCTCAATCGACTGTCCTCATTAGGAATACATTTACAACCTAACTGCGTCACAATATCTTACTTAGATGCAAGCAGAATTATGTGGTAACATAATTCTGCTTGCATCTAAGTACGATATTGTGACATAGTTTGGTTGTAAGTGCATTCCTAACGAGGACAATAGATTGAGGAGGTGAGTTAGGGATCACTTTATGAGCTGCTAGAATATTTCTTAGGTTACGAGTCCTGTGCAGAGCGACTGTCCTTCGAAAGTAGATACTATACTATTTATGACCAAGCAGGGAACAATGTGGTGGCATGTAATACGAAAGGCCGACTTATGTCGTGGTGACATTATTTATAACGATCATTAGATGTATAAGTGAGAATTTAAAATATATAAATAAAAATTCATCAATAAGTTTGATGATTACATTACTTGATGATAGGGATTCTTAGAAATTAAAAACTTAAAATTTAGTTTTTGAATCTATATATTATTAGTGACGCAAAAATGTTTAAACTAGGACCATATAATTAGGATGTCTCCCCTATTCAAATTCAAATACATATAATTGTTTGGAGGTATAAACAAAAAAAAAAATCACTTATATACTTAAAATGGTTGACTTGTGAGTTAGAAATATAATTAATTAAAAAAAAATTAAAGGTATAAATGTGTCAAATTATATCGTGTACTAGGGTGCACATGCATTGTGCACTTTGGCGCAAAATGTAGTTGTTTTGTACATTTTTTCGTGTTTGCTGTTAACTTCTTAAAATAAAATTCTCATGTTTCGAATGTACAGAATTGCATAATAGAGTGTACAGAATTTTATAACAGAATACATATAATTTTTTTGAAAGGATAATATACATAATCTAACATAATATATAATACACATAAACTCTTAACATAATACAACTCTTTTAAAAAAAATTTCATGTTCCGAATGTACAGAATTATATAATTGAATGTATAGAATTGTATAATAGAATATACAAAATTTTATAACAGAATACACATTGATAGGGATTATACTCTGCACGTACGTGTCGTTTAGCCCTGTCAACAGTGGGCTCAAGACTCCGCCCGGTTATCTATCTTTGCACCCGTTGCTCAAGAGTCCCCTCTGGTGGTGACTGACGACCAGGAGGGGTGACCGTAGAGATACACGGCCTACCTCGATCGGATTAGGGGCCCAGCTACTGTCAAAAGCCGCTAATCACGTGCACGTCTGCATGCTCGCCTCCTCAAGACCTGGTGCGTGGATGTCACGTGCCCGCCATGTCGGGAGACCGGGCGCTGTTCCCTAGGCCTTCTATAAATACTTCATTTATTGCCTTAGGGAGGGACTTTTCACCTACTATGAATATTGTATTTAAGAGGTTCATGGTCACGATATTCGATCGGTTAACCTTACATTCTACTGTACAGAACTACGGTGATTTTATACACATCACACATAATCTTTTTTGAAAGGATAATACACAAACTTTTAACTCTTTAAAAAAAAATCCTGTTTCGAATGTACAGAATTGTATAACACAATGTACATAACTGTATAACAGAATGTACAGAATTATATAACTGAATGTACAAAATTTTATAACAGAATACACATACACTCCGTCGCGTCAATTCTCCACACAACTTAACAAAACAATGTCGTTTTGGTAAGCGCGGGGTTTACATTGCTATGTGTGTCTTGGTGCACGGTATAATGATTGTATGAATGTCAACCAACCCATCTTGCTCAGTTTCTGGCTAGTCTTATTGGACTTTGATTGTTTAGATAAGAGTATAAAATGTTCTGCCTTAATTGTAAAATCTCTACTTATAATGTAAATATATTATTATTATTATTTATCTCTCTTTGGTTTTCTCTCCGAAATCTTTCTGGTTTTCTCCGGCAGCACGTCAGCTTCATCGTACAGCTGCTACGTTTCTTTCATATGCAACAGTGTTGTCCTGCATGGAGACCACGACGAACACTGACGACACGGTTGAGGCTATCACTCAACGTTGGGAAGACATGGCTTTGCAGGAGGAGGAGGGGTTTTCGTTTGTTCCGGAAGGTGAGGAGGAGGCGGCAGTAGGGGAGGCTGCTCCGGGGCAGGTCTGGCGGCTTGTAGGCTGTTTTCGTACGAAGAAATTGATCAAGTAGAGTAGATGCAACAAACCCTAGATGCGGCCTGACAACCCGTTAAAGGGGTTCAAGTGTCTGAGATTGAACCAAGGTTGTTTTTGTTTGTGTTCTACCATAGAACGGACGTTGTGCAGTTTTGGAGGAGGGTCCTTTGGCCTTCGAGAATGCAACACTAGTTTGTAAGGAGGTGGCTGATGGGATGTTACCGGGGACAGTTGTGTTGGATACGGTTGATATGTGGGTCCAGGTGCATGATCTACCGCTTGGGTACACGTCGGGGAAGATTCTTGAACAGATTGGGAATTATTTGGGTTCCTATATTAAGGGGGATGAGAGGTACGCTGGTGCCCCATGGAAAACTTTCTACAAGATCCGTGTTGCTATCCCGGTTGATAAGCCGTTGAAACGTTGGATGAAATTTCAGAAGCGTGATAAGACAACAACCTGGGTGTACTTCAAGTACGAGAGACTGCATAGCTTCTGTTTCTGCTGTGGCATGCTTGGCCATGTTTATAAAATTTGTTTGCATGCAAGAGACTCAACACTGCCGCCTGAGAGTTATCCCTACTCGGCGGAGATGAGGGCTGGAGGGCGACGTGGTCCAAGATCGGTAGGGGAGAGCTGGTTACTTCCGGCTGAGGGCAGCCTAGGGAACGGTACGGGTGGTGAGGTGGAAGGCGGTGGACGGTTGAATTGTGGTGTGGTGGCAGTTCGGGATCCACGGTATGAGCCGGAGGTTCCGGTTGTGGCTGTTGCTAAGCGCCGACGTGAGACGTTGGAGGGAGGTGGTAGGGTTCTGGGAGGAAGTGATGCTGATGTTGTCATGCCTGATGTGATTTCAAAAAACTTGTCCATGGCGGGTACTGGTTCTCAGGCCCGCCCGTCCTCATGAGTACCTTATCTTGGAACTGTCGTGGCTTGGGCAATCCACGAACAGTTCGAGAGGTGACGGATCTTGTGTCTCGTAAGAAGCCTGAGTTCGTGTTCTTGATGGAAACAAAGGTGGGATGGCTGCATGCAGAGCGTCTCAGGGTCAAACTGGGGTTTGACGGATTGTTTTATGTTGATAATGATGGTATGGCAGGGGGCCTCGCCCTGCTTTGGAAGAAAAATAATACGGCTCGTTTATTGAGTTATTCTAAAAATCATGTGGATGTGGAGGTTAGCAGTGCGAATGGTAAGGTGTGGCGTATGACATGTTTTTGTGGCCAATCGGACAGGAATATGAGGACTGAGTCTTGGGATCTGCTGCTAACCTTGAGTACTAGATCACAGCTGCCCTGGATAGTTATGGGTGATTTTAATGATTTGTTATATCAGCATGAGAAGAGAGGAGGAAACCCACACCGAAACAATCTGCTTCGCTGGTTTGGGGAGGTTATTGATGGTTGTGCACTGACACAGTTGCCTATGTCTGGCTACCGTTTTACCTGGGAAATGGGAGAGGGCACGGATATGTGGATTGAAGAGAGGCTAGACAAAGTTCTCGCAACGGATAGGTGGCATGATATGAATGGGGATGCGGGTGTGGAAAATATACGGACAAGGAATTCGGATCACTTGACCCTGTTTCTAAGAATTGATGTGGCCAACGTGACAAGGAATAGACCGAGAGGGTTCAGGTTTGAGATGGCCTGCCTGCTGGATGAGGGCTGTAGGGAGGTGGTTGAGACTGCCTGGCAGGATGGGAGGACGGAAGGGCTGTTGGATTGTCAGCAGTATTGTGGACACAGGTTGATGCGGTGGGGAGGTGACCACTTTCATAATTTTGGGGACCGCATTAAACGGCTCAGGGAGAGGCAGGAGCAGATACGGAGCAGAAGGGACCCGGCTGCATTGGCCGAGTTCCAGCACATTGAGACACAGCTCCGCCAGTTGGAGGTGTAGGAGGATGCATTCTGGAAGCAACAAACAAAGCAGCATTGGCTGCGTGGTGCAGATTCCAACACAAAATTCTACCACAGGTATGGTTCTGCTTGTAGGAAAAAAAATTCAATTGCTAGAATTAAAGATGAATGTGATGTGTGGGTGGAGGGGGATGTTATGAATAGGATTATTTTGGACTATTTTACGTCTATTTTCACCTCGAATGGTGCAATGGGGGAGGATGTTTTGTTTGATGATTTTACTCCCTGTGTAACCCCTGGTCAGAATGAAAATCTTTTGCGCCCCTTTGAATTAGATGAAGTTAAAACTGCGCTTTTCTCGATGTTTCCTGACAAAGCCCCGGGGCCGGATGGAATGAATCCGGGATTTTACCAGCATTTCTGGGATCTTGTTGGGGGGATGTATCTGGCTTTGTGATTCAATGTTTGAATACCTGTTCTTTTCTGGAAAGATTGAATGATACTGATGTAGTCTTGATCCCGAAAAAATGTGTGCAGGAAACGGTTGTGGACATGCGACCGATTGCACTGAGTAATGTGCTTTACAGAATTATGGCCAAGATGATAGCAAACAGGATGAAACCACTCATGGGGGAGATAATTCCAGAATCCCAGAGTGCGTTTATTCTGGGGAGGCTAATCACGAATAATATTTTGATAGCGGCAGAGATAGGCCATTATTTAAATAGGAAGTAGTGTGGTATAGCAGGCTGGGGTGCTTTAAAGCTGGATATGGCAAAAGCATATGATCGGATGAAGTGGCCCTTCCTGGAAAGAATGCTAACAGTAATGGGTTCTGCAGATGAATGGGTTAGGTTAATAATGCTTTGTGTAACAACGGTTGAGTACACAATAAAGGTAAATGGCATGCCAAGTGGAACTGTAGTGCCTACCCGTGGCCTGAGACAGGGTGATCCGCTGTCTCCATATTTGTTTATTATCTGTGCAGAGGGTCTTTCTATGTTGTTGCAGAAAGCGCAGATGAATGGCTTAATACATGGTTGTAGGGTGGCGAGGGGAGCCCCACCAATTTCGCACTTATTCTTTGCAGATGACAGCCTACTGTTTTTTAAAGAAAATGTCCAGGAAGCCAGTGTGGTCAAGCAATGTCTGGAACGGTATGAAAAGTTATCTGGCCAAATGATTAATTTCCATAAATCAAATATTTGTTTTAGCAGGAATACCCAGGGTTGGATTAGAGAGGAGGTAGCTGATTGCTTACAGGTGGCACATGCCCCGAATTTTGGGAAGTACTTTGGTCTACCATCATTTGTGGGTAGAAATAAAAGGGCTGTTTTTGCGTATATAGAGGATAAGATCAGGCAGAGGATTGGCTCGTGGAATAAGATATTGCTCTCCCAAGCTGGTAAAGAGGTGCTCTTGAAAAGTGTGGCGCAGTCAATGTCGACCTTTACCATGAGTGTTTTTATGCTGCCTGACGGTGTCTGTTTGGCTATACAGAGAACTATGAACATGTATTGATGGGGCAGTGGCACGGAAAGGGGTATTCATTGGAAAGCATCGGACATGTTATGTATCCCCAAGAAATTTGGAGGGTTAGGATTCAAGGACCTACGAGCTTTTAATCTGGCTATGCTAGGAAAACATGATATGAACCTAGTCCAAGATTCAAATAAGATGGATGATAAGCTTAATTTCTAGACATTATTTAGAGTAATTTTTGTTAGTGAGTTGCATAAATAAATTAAATTTTAGGGTCGATTTTATTATAAATATTATATTTAGTTATATGTTACTAGTTTAATAGTTTAGATTGGTTTTAATAAATATTAGGTTAATGTTGCATTTTTATTAATATATTAATAAGAGTTTTATTTTATCTATAGTATTAAATTTACTTAGTAGTTTTATATCTTCAATTTTTAAATAAGTATTTTAATAATTAAGTGTAATAAGTGTTGTCATTAGGTTAGAGTTATTTTACTTTAACTTAAAGTGTTGTTTTGTTTATTTTTTTTGAAGGATTCACACAGCACGGAACCAAAAATAAAGAAAGGGGGTTGCTTTTGTTTTAAGCATTGGGCGCACAGCAGAAGAGAAAGGACAAAAGAAAAGGGTAATTAAATTGGGTTTTTGCGCAGCCATAAAAGGGAAAACAAAAGGACAAAGAAAAAGACCCCAACTTGAATTGCTTTTGTTTATTATTTTTGGGTTCGGCAAAGCGAAATAGAACAGAGGGACGACAGAGAATAGATAGAGACGAAATGGAAAGAAAAGGAATAGAGGAGTACGAAAGCTTGGGAGCGGCGGCGACTTCGGCGAGGAGACGATGTTGAGGACAACGATGATCCATTACGAGTCCTAGTAGATGGTCCAATGACAAGGGCAAAGGCTAAACAATTACAAGATGCCGTTGGAGGGTTGATTAGCGCTCAATGGGATATGGATCAATTTGATGAAGACAAGGAGCGGCCGGTTAATCTAATTGGGGTCCAGTTGGAGGGAAATTAATTGAATTGGGCTATGCTGATTACATGGATAGTAAATAAAATCAAAAAAAAAAATATACCATTCTGTATGCTGAGAAGGTTGTTCACTTATTTGTTATTAGTTTGAGTATTGTACCAATTTTCTTTCAAGCCAAACACCAAATAACCTTTTATCCTATCACCCACGCCTTGTGGAAGAAGTATTCCTTAGATTGTTGGAAAGTCCGTCAAGAACTCGTAGAAAAGGGTCTTGTTCATTGCTATTTGTGTGTTTTTGTGAGACCATTAGAGTGTTATATTTTAATACACGAGCGGTAAAAGAAGAGTGACTCACCCTAAAACTGAGAGTGTGTGAGGGAGTGAAGTAAGGGCCTTATTTATATTATATATATACATATTTTAGCTTTGCTGTTTTAATGGCGGAGGGTGGGGAGACTAGCGAGCGAAGGGAAACCCAAAATCCAGATGTTAGGTTCATGGTGGACGCGATGAGGGGAGAATTTGACAGGTTAAATAGAAGGTTTGAGGAGATGGATGGTAGAATTGTTGAGATGGAGAGAAACCAGAGGGGGGAAAGGATACAAGATGAAAATAGAGGGAGAAATGGGGTGCAATTTAGGGAACAGAACAGAGAAAGGGAGAGAAATAGAAGACAAAATGAGAGGGAACAAATGAGTAATAGTAGTGGAGAGGAGAGTGAAGAAATAGATGAGAATAGAGAATTTAGAAGGGAAAGAAACAGAAGGGGTAGAAATCGGTGGGAAGAAGTGGATGATGACATGAGGGATGTTCGGCCAATGATCCCTAAGTTTCAAGGGAAAAATGACCCGGAAGCTTATCTAGATTGGGAAAGTAGGGTGGTGAGGTCATTTGAATGTCATAGGTATTCAGAGAGTAAGAAGTTAAGACTGGTAGTCCTAGAGTTTACAAACTATGCTTCTAGCTGGTGGGATAAGATTATAGCTGAGAGAAGGAAGTATGGAGAGGATCATATAGAGTCTTGGAGGGAGTTGAGAATTTTAATGAGGAGGCGATTTGTACCAAGTTGGTACCAACGTGAAATGTATCAGCGACTTGAATATCTTTTGCAGGGTGCTAGAAGTGTTGCTGACTACAATCAAGAGATGGAAAAGCTCATGATCAGGCTTAACATAGATGAAAAGACCGAGAGGTCCATGGCCCGGTTCCTTAGAGGCTTGAATGCAGAAATTCGAGAAGAAGTTGATAGGCAACATTATGTGGAGTATGATGAGCTAGTACAAATAGCCATGAAGGTGGAGTAGTCTTTGCAAAGAAAGAAAAACCGGTTCCACATGAGTTCTTCCTCTTGGAAGAGTAAGGAGGGTTCCAAGGAGAGATTCCAGTCAAGGAATGGCAATGGTAAACCCAAGGAGTCTAGAGACCAAAAAGGTAAGGACTTTGCCGAAGGAAACTCTAGGCCACGTAACATCAAGTGTTTCAAATGTCAAGGAATAGGCCATATTGCAAAAGTTTGTCCAAAAAAGGTAAATATGACAATCAAGAAAGGGAGGATTGTTACTGATTCCGAGCAAAGTGATTCTAAGGAGGAGACCGAAGAGGAATCTGATTCACGTGAGGAGGAACTACTTGAAACTGATAATGAAGAAGTTTTGGAGGGACCAGTTGAGGGAGATGCCTTGATGGTAAGGCGCATGCTCAACATCCAAGCCACCGGGATGAAAGTCAACGTGAAAACATCTTTCACTCAAGGTGTTTTGTTCATGGGAAGGTATGTAGTTTAATAATTGATGGCGGGAGCTGTACTAATGTTGCTAGTACAAAAATGGTGGAGAAGCTAGGCTTGAGCACACAAATCCATCCTACACCATATGCGTTGCAGTGGTTAAACAAGGCGGGGGATATCAAGGTGAATCAACAAGTTTTGATTCCGATAAAGTTGGGACATTATGAAGATGAGATCCTTTGTGACATAGTGCCCATGGACGCTGCTCACATTCTTCTAGGGAGGCCGTGGCAGTTTGATATGAAGGTGTTCCATGATGGTTATTATAACAAGTACATGTTCGAACACCGAGGCAAGAAGATCACCTTAACCCCAATGACTCCGCGACAAATTCACGATGACCTTCAGAAAATGAGGGAAAGAGAGAAAAATGAGAAAAGAATTGAAAATAATAGTGAACAAAGTGTTGAAAAAGAGAGTGGAAGGAAAAGAGAGAAAAATAAAAGTGAGGACAAAGAAAAAACAAAGAAAAATTTCATTGGAAAAAAGAGAGATATTGAAAAAGTAATAAGAGCGGGGAGGCAAGTTTTTCTTTTGTTGTATAAAGGACCCAACGAGGGTACTACTAATCCTAGTCATTTGCCCGAGGCAATGACTTCTTTAATGCAGGAATTCAAAGATGTTTGTCCGGAGGAACTTCCTGCCGGTTTACCACCGTTGAGGGGGATTGAACACCAAATTGACTTGGTGCCGGGAATGCCATTACCGAATAGGCCTGCCTACCGATGTAACCCGGAGGAGACTAAGGAAATCCAAAAGCAAGTTAATGAACTCTTGGCCAAAGGG